AACTGGACGAATGACGCTTCAGAAGTGTTGAGTCATCCGGAGATCGACGCGGTGCTCATCTGCTCACCCACGGATAAACACGCAGAGCAGATTATGGAGGCTGCTAAGAACAAGAAGCATATCTTCTGTGAGAAACCCGTGGATCTCGAGCTTGACGTCGTCAACAAGGCTATCAAGGCGGTGCGTAGATGTGAGGAATTGATGTTCTTGCAGCAATACTGACTTGTCCAATTTAACTTTGATTTATTACAGACGGAGGATGCTGGTGTGAAGCTCATGATCGGATTTCAACGGCGATTTGACGCTAACTTCCTTCGCATCAAAGGAGCAATTGACCGTGATGAGATTGGCAAGGTCAACATGATCCGCATCACTAGCCGTGATCCCGGACCCCCACCTGTGAGCTACATCAAGAGCTCGGGTGGACTCTTCCGCGACATGACCATCCACGACTTCGACATGGCTCGCTTCCTGGTGGGCGACGAAGTTGATGAGGTTTATACCATGGCGAAAAGTGTCAACCCGGACATTGCAGCAGCGGGCGACATCGACACGGCCGTGGTGCTACTCAAATTTCGCAACGGTGTGATCTGCTACATTGAGAACAGTCGCGAGGCAGCGTATGGTTACGACCAGCGGGTGGAGATGCTTGGATCCAAGGGATCGGTGGCTTGTGACAACAAGCACTCGAATCAAGTCGTGGTGTCTACGAGCGAGAGTGTGCGTCGTGACTTGCCGCTGCATTTCTTCTTGGAACGCTATATGGACGCTTATGTTGGGGAAATGGAGGCGTTCATCCGTGTATGTACTACGGATGCGCCTGTACCGGTAGGTGGCGATGACGGTCGCGAGGCTCTGTTGTTAGCTCTTGCTGCGAACAAGTCTCTGGCTGAGAATCGCCCTGTAAAGGTCGATGAATTGCGTGCTTGAAGAACTTGACTTGGGCTCTTTCCTTTCCTGTGAGGCCTTAAGCACAGTTTTGAACAACATACCTCATCTGTACTTACAGAGTTTGATCAAATGCTTCGTTGTGACTGCTTACTATTATACAGATCGAGATCTGTGCTGCTGCTCCTCATTATTGTACGAACTGCTCGATAGTCTTCTTACAAGCCGTTGAATTCTTGCTGTAGAGTCTTCTGACACTTCTACTTCTCCACTCGCTCGTCCATTACCGTTGTTCAGCGGATCCGTACGAGCTTCTCGAATCAGCAAATCCAAGTCAACTTCGTGCCCAAACACTGGTGCTGCTTCGTCGAAAACGTTGTCAAAGGTGTCACTTGACGCAGAAGTGTTTCTTAACTCCATCACTTGAACGGGAAGTTCAGTGAGAAGCGTGCGGGGTCTTCGGCCGAGTATCAAGTCTTCTTTAGTATTCGCAGCACTCTCTTGCTCCTGTTTGCTTGTACGCGTAATGAAGAAATGGTAGTCGCTGTCTGATCCTTTGCACTGTACAACCAACCGCGAAGCAAAGATACGAGCGATTTCTTTCTCGTTTGAGGTCTCCAGAACGACCTCTTCGTCCTCGTACGGGAGTAGTGCGATAGTCTCGAACAAGTGGAAATAGGCAACACGAGGTACAGCAGCCTCTCGGTCTACAGAGGTACTAGGTGCGACCTGAAGCTGAAGAATAGGCGGGTCTTTCGACACACGAAGCACAATGTCCACCATTTCGTTAGTACTCTTGCCACCCTCATACGCGCAGGATACTTTGTGATGCGGCTCCACAATCTGCATCTTGTACTGCATGGCCTCAGTTACCAGCAAGTAATCGGGTGCACTCTCTGGCGCTAGTCCAGATGGGAGAAGTTTACGATCCGTGGTGATCAAACTGCTGCCTAGAGCCTCGTAGTTCTTACGCACCAGATAACCACGATATCGAGCTTTGATCTTCCCAATTGCAAGCTTCTTACGAATGAACTCTCGTCGCGCTAGAAATCCTTTGGAACAAGTCTGGATCATCTTGACGGCAGTATCTTCCTCAAGCCCGTTCTCCTTGATTAAGGACATTCGCGACTGGCTTACTAGTGGAGTGGACTCCAAGGTACTGTCGTCTTCATTATTACGGTCGATATCACTCTCACCGCTGCTATCACTACTGTCGTCACTGTCGCTAGAGCTACTAGAACCATCACCAGAAGCTTCAGTTTGCCCAAGGATACCTCCATCCACGAGACCTTTGGTGTTCGACTTCTCTTTCTTGCGCTTTTTCCTCAGCTTTGTCTTCATTTTGCCAATCTCACGCTGTAATGCAACTAGTTCCTCCAGCAAATACGCTTCTCGCGCAGTCAACACAATGGCGGAATTGTTCGCGCTGCCACTACGGGTTTGTCGTCTAAACTCTTTCAATGCACGAACTTCTTCCATGGACTGCACGACAATCTTCTGATACCGGTTGACCTCTGCACTCAGAACAATGCTATTACGACGTAGAACCTCCTTCTCGATATCCGTTGCACCAGTCGTGCTCTGTCGCCTTCCTGGACTGCCATTTGGAGTCGAAGGTGGGGCAGATACTGCCACCATAGATCCCAAGCGCTCCAATTTTCTCACAGACATCACATCCGGAGTGGAAGGAGTATTAGGCATCGGTGTCGATACTTCTGGAACGCTGGGTTTGTCGCTCTCTTCAGCCTGCATCTCACCTGTCAAAGCCAAAGCTACAGCAGGCGACGGCAATGCGAGGTCCTCAAGAGCGTCCAACTCTCGCTCTTGATTAAGTCTTGCTAGGGTAGTCTCAGACACACGCAGGAGTTCATCTTGTCGTTCTTGTCGCTCTTTACTGAGCTGTAGTAGTGCCTCTAGCTCCTGTATGCGTCCCTGGGCCTCAATGAAATCGGCCGCCCCTACGTCACCAAAGCCAACTGAATAGTGCAGCAGAGTTCCCTTCCGCTCACTGAGTTCTCCAGGAGAGAGCTGACGATCTCGCTGTAACAAGCGCAGTGACACTTCCAGATCCTTCACTTTGTCCCGTAATTTCTGTTTCTCCTCCTGATGACGCGCTAGTTTGAGTTCATACTCAGTTCTTAGCGCATGTACAGCCTGCTCCCGAGTAGCTCGCAGCGTTGCAGCTTCACCTTCTTTCCACTCACGAAACTTGTGTCGAGTCTCAGCTAGAGCGCAGACAAGTCGCTGCCGTTCAGTCTTTGAGCTTTGAATTAGAGCTGCTGTTCGTCGCGCTTCATGAGTAGTGCTAACTCGAGCTTGTGCTAGTAGAGCGTGGAGACGCTCCACATCTGTCTGCGAAGCACGAAGAGCAGCTTCTGCTTCGCTCAGTTGACGCGCGTGTGACCGTCGCACCATTTCTAGTCTTTGAAATAGCGTCACTTGACGCGCTTTCTCCTCGATGACTTGTTCTCGCATAATCTCGTAGTCCTGTTGGCATTGAGCTCGTTCTTCCCGTAGTTCGTGCAGTTTTGCCTCTTGTACCGACGCGCGGAGACTATCCACGTTGATGTCTCGATCGAAGACAGCGCTTTCTCTGCTGCTCTCGTCACGTCTCTCTTGTATTGCAGCAGAATCCTTCGAGCGAGGTTTGAACGGTGAGTTGCGAAGATGAGGTGCCAGTCGGGCGGTTTGGCGTTTGTTTGGAGCCTTTCTCTCTGTTGAGGGCGCTGTCGTCGGTTTGGAGCTCTCTCCAGTGCCTCGAAGTCGTCGTTCTCGGGCGAGTTCAGCCTGCAGCAGCTCCAGCGTCGTCTGTAGCTGCTCGTCAGCAGCAAGCCGCGCTCGCTCGAGTTCTTGCTCTTCTGCAGCGTGGAGACGCTGGATCTCCTCCAGCGCAGTTTCTCGTCTCCTTGAACTGTCACTCTGATCATCGGTCTCGAGCAGTACCTCCTGGAGCACCTCGAGTGCGTCCTCCAACGACGTTGAAGTTGGCTGTGAACGTGGTTGTTCCTGTCTTGATACCAAAGCGCCATCTGGTGTAGCAGCGGACACTGAGATCCGCTGCTCCGTCCTCGTATCCGGCTTCGCCAGTCGCTCTCGTGGAGTGGACCAGGCTGCACGCTTGGCCACGTTGGGACTCACGCCGCGTGAAGCGACTGACGGCGCACCCACATTGATTGCAGGCAGGACGCCATTGTGCTGCATCGGCTCAGGTGTGTCTCGCGTGGTGCGGACATTAAGTGCAAGCGGTTGCCTCGACTGCTACACCAACGGCCTCATATAAATAGCTTAGTGGCGGTGCTGCCAGTCTCGGTGTCTTTGAGTGAACTCGACACTAATGTGCTGGATACTTTATTCCAGTCATAGAGCTGCGCTCTCATTGGTTGATGTAACGGCTGGAGCGTCCTATTGTACTTGTCCTGCTTTGCCGAAGTATCAGGGACGTACTTCGCGATTCTCCTGCGCTTCGACACTATTACCTCCTACATGCTCAACTCGAACTTGGCTAAGCCCCTGCGTGTGGGTCTTATTGGCGCTGGCCGCATCGGTAAAGTGCACGCGCGAAGTCTACAGCGCGCTGGCGCCGTCATCGTCGTGGTGTGTATACATTAGTGGTGTCTGATTAATGGTGGCTCACTTCGGCGACTACGCACAGATCGCTGACCCCGTGGGCAACGTGGCGGAGACTGTGGCTGCACAGTTCGGCATCGAGCACTGGACCAAGAACGCGTCCGACGTCTTCACCACCGATATTGACGCCGTCGTCATCTGCTCCCCGACGGCCCTGCACGCTGAGCACATTATTGAGGCAGCACAGCACAAGAAGCATATTTTCTGCGAGAAACCCGTCGATTTCAGCGTCGACGTCGTCAACAAGGCCATCAAGGCGGTACGTAGCTGCCATAAGTATATTCACGCTGCAGCCTGGACTTGAATACTGACTAATGTTGCTACAGGCGGACGACGCTGGCGTGAAGCTCATGATCGGATTCAATCGTCGCTTCGATGCTAACTTTGCCCGCATCAAGCAGGCCATTGACCGCGATGAAATCGGCAAGGTTAATATGCTGCGTATTACTAGCCGCGACCCTGGTGCTCCGCCAATTGAGTACGTTAAGGTGTCGGGCGGGCTCTTCTGTGATATGACAATCCATGACTTCGATATGGCGCGCTTCTTGATCGGCGATGAGGTGGAGGAGGTCTACGCTATGGCGCAGAGTATCAACCCGGACATTGCAGCAGCGGGCGACATCGACACGGCCGTGGTGCTACTCAAGTTCCGCAACGGTGTGATCTGCTACATTGAGAACAGTCGCGAGGCAGCGTATGGTTACGACCAGCGGGTGGAGGTGCTTGGATCCAAGGGATCGGTGGCTTGTGACAACAAGCACTCGAATCAAGTCGTGGTGTCTACGAGCGAGAGTGTGCGTCGTGACTTGCCGCTGCATTTCTTCTTGGAACGCTACATGGACGCTTATGTTGCGGAGATGGAAGCATTCATCCGTGTATGCACCACGGGTGCAGCAGTTCCTGTGGGTGGCGACGCTGGTCGTGAGGCTCTGTTGCTGGCTCTTGCTGCGAACAAGTCTCTGGCTGAGAACCGCCCTGTAAAGGTCGACGAGCTGCGGTAGCTTGCCTAATAATGGCTTCCGTTTACGCTGATCGACTGCCTAGATGCTAGGTTGCTTCCTTTTTGTGTTGTAGAAACGATCTGGATATGATCATAAACTCAATCGAAACAAAAAACAACTAGAGAGCAGACACGATTCATTTCTTGTGTCATCCATCTGTAGTCACACTACAGTGGGTCTCTCCGTTTTTGAAGTTGGTCCATCTAAAACACAATAGTGTCCAGCATTGCGCCGAGGCACTGGACTGTGTTGAGGGCCATGAGGTCGTACACGTCGTTCTCCAGGTGCTTCTTGGGATCCAGTTTGCCGACATTCAAGACTTCGAGCTCCTCGGGTGTTTTCTCTTCCTCCTCCTGAACTCGCTTGTTGTACTGCTCCGTAAGCGCCAGCATGGTCTACATCATCAACAACAATTAAAACCATTAGACTGCACCCACTCAGCATATACTTTGTAGTAGTCTGGCTGCGTACCTTTACAGTTTCCTCGTTCTCCTTCGAGTGGTCTTCGAACTTGGTGAGCACGAGGCCGTCACTCCACGTTTTCTTGTGTAGATTCATCAGCATTTGCTCCTCGAGTTCATTCTTACGGTAGTCAATAGCAATCGAGTAGTAGTGACGGTTAAGACCGTGGATCAGCGCCTGGATCGATGGTTTGTTCAAGTGGCCAATGTTGGAGGTGGTTTGTCTTGGCTCCTGACCCATCATCATGAGTTGCGGGTTGATGAGGCGGAAGGCGTCGATGACAACCTTACCCTTGACACTCTGAATGGGGTCCACCACCACAGCCACGGCGCGCGGGTTCAGAGCCTCGAAACTTTGTTGCGTATTGATATCCACGCCCGACAGCCAACAGCCGAAGCCTGGGTGCGAGTGGTACCATCCAACAACCATTTCAGCTCTTCCCGTCTGCTTGAGCATCTCCAGCATCTTCATCTGGAACACTGGGTCTACGGCCTCCACACTCACGCCCGTTCCGCTCTGCGGCATGGCAAACACGTCGATGCAGTTGACCGTGTAGTCGTCCACGAACTCGCCCAGCATAAGACCCATCACCTCCATTGGGACACCAGCACGGCCTGGAAGAAGCAAAAAGAAAATAATTAACTGACGAAATAGTAGGAAAACCGCAGGCGAGGAGATCTTTCTTACCGTGCTTGAGCATCTTGAGCAGAGCCAGCGACGAAATGTGCACCTTCTCAGCCGTGTCGACCAGAGGACCATCGGCACCAGGTCCGCCCTGGCCAGGAAGCCCAGGTAGGTTGCCAAATAGACGCTGAAGCCGGTCCATCGCGCGGTGTCGGAGCCTTCAAGCCAAAAAGGATCCAAAACTTGGGGGAATTACTATGGGAACACAACGAATGTACATAATTTGATGTGGTGCACATTGTAATGAGTATTTACCCATTTTGGATAATTAGGATCGGAGAAGATGGAAACGCCACCGAGAGGAAGGAAGGCGCCAACGCCTGCGTCGTCCAAGAAGCTGCACGCGCGTCTCAAGCGCCAAATGGAGGGTGAAATGGACGTGGAAGGCAACCCTGAGATGGAACGCATGGGCGACGAGGTGCCTGTGCACGCGGCCGCCATTAAACCACTGGTCGACGAATATGATGACGACGATCTCGACTGACCAGAATTTGAAGCAACGTATTAACGTTAACGGCGATGAGCTGGAAAATGGACACGCAGACTGATATTTAGAAGGAATAAGGAGACTAGGATGACAGTCCCGAATACTTGCTGGCCGTGCAATATCACACAGAACGGATTGTCTTGGTCTCCTGAGTTCTTCTTGTTTGGTCTAGACACGGCCGGCCTCCTTGATGGCGGTAAAGAAGGCACAATTGAAGACCGTCTTCATCATACTCTTAATGTTGTTCGTGTACAGACACTCGCGCTGGGACTCCTTCTGGATGCGAAAGTTGTACGTGCTCATGACAGCTTTGATCTCCTCGTACGTAAGCTCCACCGACTGGTCATAACGCTCGTCATCTTCGCCACTTCCGTCTTGCCAGTGGTACAGCAGAGGGCCCAGGTTGATCCAGTAGCCTCCAGGCTTCAGTAGACGCTCAAAAGCAGCAATGTACTCGATCACATTCGGCGCCGCATCAATAAAGAAGCACGTCACAATGCAATCCCAGCATTCTACAAGACGTGAGATAAGCATTAGTCTTCACAATAGCTGGAGAAACCTACGACATGCTCAACTTACCCTTGTCATTCGCGTAGGCCTCCAGGAACTCGCCGGCACACATAGAGAAGTCGGGCGGGATGGCAGTGCCGGTGTTAAGACCCAAGAGCTCCGCTGGTGCTACATCCGGGATAGCCACGGGACGCAGCAAGTCCGTGACTGTCATCGCATTAGACGGGTTGTGAATCCACGGGTGGATCTCCAACTCCATAGGCCGCGATATCCTGTTGGCGACAGTAGAGTAATAATTTAGCAAACTATCGACAACAATACCGAGCAAGGTGGAGCTGTACCAGTTGAGAATGAAGTTGCTTGCAAACAGCATCTGATACGAGAACTCGTTGCCTTGGACAGCATAGCCCAAAGAGGCGATCTCCAGCGCTAACCGTCCTAACCCCGCCCCAGGCAACAGCACACGAGGGCGATCCGTCCTGTTCAGCACCACCAAATCGTTTAGTTGCACTGCTGCTATATGAAAGGTAATGCATCATCAGCAGATATCTTACGGGCTATCTGGATCCACCATCAGGACGCGACGTAGCTCTTTGATAATGGGGGTATAGCACATGTCACGCTCCTTCTTACCCTACAACGATTTACAATACCACGGATCAGAGTACAGCAAGCGAGCGCATAGTACCATGCTTCCAAACGTCAACTGACCTCGTCCGACCAATCCCGCACAAACTGGTGCAGCGTGCTCTTGAGCTTGGAGAAGTGACGCAGAGGGCTTCGCAGCGGCGTCTTGGGCGTGACCTCGGGCAGCTCATAAGCTGGCCCATTCTCCAGCTGAGCCTGCACTATGCGCTCGAACAGAATCTGGTTGTGGTGCGTCGCGTTGACGAAGTGGTGCAAGTTGCGGAGTGTGGACGATGGCGGGAGGCGGCGCTGCATGTCGACGGGCATCGCTTGCATGTGCTTCTTGCGCCGGTAGATCTCGCGCATCATGTAGGACTCATACTCGCGGAACGACAACAGTACCGACTTGTAGTGCTCTTGCTCCTCCGGATCCTGCTCCATCGCGGCTCAGGTTCGAAGAAGAAGAGGACACTCCTTTCTGATGATTGGCACGTTTGGTATCATCGAAAAAACGATGTGGTGCACATACAAAAATGTACGCCACACCGGCGCAATCACAAAAGTGGGCAAAAAGCAATTGGCTTTTAGAACCGCCGACCATGTCCCAAGGCCGCATCTTGCCGCTTGGTGAGTGCTTCGAGACGCCCCCGTATTGGTTGCAGTATGCAGAAGGAAACTAACGGGGTCTGATCCACCGTCGTCCTTCTCGCTATTTTTTTCTCTGGCTGCTCGCAGAGCTGATTGACAAATGCATCGGGTCGAAGCTCTGGATTGTCATGAAGGGTGACAAGGAGTTCCTCGGCACGCTCCGGGGATTCGACGACTACGTTAGTAAGTGATGAAAGATAGCAGTGTAAATGATATTCTTTTGCTGGAATGTGTTGGATTAGCTGAAATGCTGACGTTGCCTGCTTCCGTGTGCTTTTGTGCTCTCGTTCTCTAGACATGGTGCTGGACGACGTGACGGAGTAGTACGTTGCGTTTCGACCTCGTGATATGTATAATACGGTAAGATGTATTGTTAACTAAGCTATTGCTGCCAATTTCTTCTCCTACAGCGAGATCACTCCAGAGGGCAAGCGTGAGGTGAAGCTGGACCAGGTTCTACTCAATGGCAACAACGTGTGTCTGGTACGTTTTTCGCCCACATTATTGTGTGTGTGTGTGTGTGTGTGTGTGTGTGTGTGTGTGTGGCTATGCAGCTAACAAGATAACGATCGTATCCTTGTGTGATCCAGCTCGTGCCTGGAGGATTTCCGAGCACGTCCTAGGCCATTGTTTTCGTATCAAATTTGGACGTTGTGTCAGAAAGCAGTAGAAGCATGAGATCAACGGTAACTCTATACCTGTTCCAATTCAAGACACTGCATCATCTGAAGCTGTATCAAAACGCCCAATTAACAGCCAGCCAAGGAATTGGAACAGCACAACTTCCGTAACATCTCTACCCCATTGGCACCATTAACACATTTGCGAAAACCCGATACACACACGTCTCCATTTTTGATTCGATGCATCCACCTGTGTTCCTTCCTACTCTGCCATCTCCGTCCCTGCGCTCTTCGTCTATAGTCTGTGTATGCTTACTTCTTGGCCTTCTCAGCGTTGTGGGCTTTGACCGACCGGCGGTTGAGCAGCACGAGGTAGCGGTGCTGCTCCTCCATGTCCAGGTTGTCGAATCCTGTGCGCTCCAGTTCGCCCAGCGTGGGCTTAGGATCCAGCAGCGTGAAGAGCCACTCCGGGTATTCGGACTTGTCCTTGAGCTCCGGGTGGGCGCCGTCCTTTAGGATGTTGGTAGGCACCACCTTGGTCAGATCCACAACTTCCTCCACCACAGCAGCTCCGCCCTTGCCCTTGGCCGCGAACGAACGTGCGCCCGCCATCAACGGCTTGGTCAATCTCCGCGTCGTCGCCAGCATTTTCACTCGCACTTGTTGCTCGTTCACTGTCCACACAGGCTTGATTCCCTCGTTTTCAAAAAATATTAAAACGAGAAAGCAAAAACAAAAATTATTTAGAAACCCGTTATAATAGATATCGATACTGTGTATCGCTTTCACCTTCGGAGCTGCTCGCCAGTCACATATAGCCATCATGGGCGGCAAGCAGAAGAAGCGGAAGGGTGCACGCACCTCGAATGCCGGCAAGGCGCAGGCCTTCGCACAGACCTGCATGGAAAGCATGCAGTCCAGTAAGGACAAGAGAGAGCAAAACAGACGCCGCATGCGTGTGGTGCAGCTGCAACGCTCGGTGGATCGAAAGCTGCAGGAATTGCGTGCATATCCCAAGAACCCTCCGCCGCCGAAGCCTCCAGCACGCAAAGGACCCAAGCCACCGTCCGAGTGGAAGCTTAAGGGAGCAGCGCGGCCAGCCGCGCTTCTGGCCAAGATCGCAGCTGGAGAATTGGACGAATGCGGCAACGAGTTCCCCAAGCCAGTGGAGACTTTCGACCTGTACGAGAAGATGCTTAAGGAGGGTAAAATGGCGGAACACAAGGACACCAGGGAATACATCAGGTACGAGTCAGAGCTCCGTAAGTATAGTTTAATTTGCATTGGAGATTGACTTGCTATTGCAGTCTGCTGAAGCAGCTTGCGGCAGCTTGTTGCGAGGCCGGTATGCCTGACCGTGGCATCAAGAACTATGAATTGTGCATGAGTTTGGACAAGACGGACTCTTTCTATTCACGTGAGGGTTTGGCGTGCGCGTTGGTGGATGAAGGTCGTGGAGCAGAGGCGCGTGCCTTGATTGAGGAGCACAAGGACGAGGACTCGGCGGTGCTTGCCTACTGCCAGGTGATTATCGAGTACGTGTCGTGGGAGGTGCTGGAAGAGGAGGGATCCTCAGAAGAAGTCGTACAAAAGGCGTTCCGCAAGGCGTTCGCGCTGAATCCATTCATGGCCGTGGTAACCGCGTACCATGAGACGTTCTTCCAAGTGATGGAGTATGTGGAAGAGATCAAGGACCCGAAGCGAGGATCTATTGAAGAAGCGTTTGTCTACGTCTCGCAGAATATTGGTTTATGGGTGGATACCGTGGGTGCTTATCAGTGGATTGAGAAGGAGCTGAACGAACTGTCCGAGCCTGCTGCTACAAAGGAGGACGTGTCGGATGAAATGTACCTCGGTATGTATGAAACAGCCATCGAAATGCACAAGGAGATGCTCGCTGAAGCTGAAGCTGAAGCCGAAGTTGCCGCTGCAGCTGAAGTAGAAGGAAGCGACGCAGAGGAAGACGACAGAGACGAGTTTGGCGATTTCGAGCCTGATGCTATTGACGGTGGCGACGACTAGTGATATCGCTAAATCAGCACTCCATTCCATATAGATCCCGTATTTTATTTTGCTCTTACGAGCGATGAGGTTTTGGTGGTAAACTTACACCCTCTTAGACTGCGGAGCCATGCGAGTTACTCCTCGACGTACTTGGCGAACAGGTTCTCTGGGTTGGTCATGGCCTTGAACTCGAGGTTGTTGCCGCTTGGGTCCTTGAAAAACATGGTCCACTGCTCACCCTTACGACCTGCGAAGCGGAGGTGAGGCTCCACGATAAACTTGATGTTGAGGCCCTGCACACGCTTCGAGAGGGCGTGGAACTCGTCGACTGTCAGAGCCACACCAAAGTGCGGGACCGGCACATCGTCCGCATCTGTAGGAATAGTCTAGACGTTAGACTGTTCTGAACGATAACTAATATAGCGTTGAATACGCACCGACGGGGTTGAAGAAGTCCACGCCACGGTAATCCTTCGTCACTTGGTGCACAACGAGCTGGTGGCCGAACATGTTGTAGTCCTTAGCGTTTCATAGCATTCAGGGGGAACGGAGGTCAGTACGACGAACTTGATAGAACCAGACTGAAGACGAACCTGCCACTGCTTGGACGAGCGTCCCTCGATGAAGCCTAGTTTGGTGCCATAGAAATCCTTGGCTGCAGAAATCACGGGGAGGTTATTAACGCATGAGTTGTACCGCTGAAAGAAGTCTTGGTCTTGCTAGTCGTACCTTCCGCCAGGTCGTGAACTGGCACAGCGAGGTGGAAGGGAGGCACTTGTGACGACATGAATCCCTTTCCGACGGGCTTAAGGGACGTAGTAATGGCGCGCTGCAGCATCAGGAGGTCGCTACTTACGAAGTGAGAGAGCTTCAATATGATGATCTCTTCCCTGGCTCTGGATTGGACGACTACCGTGATTGGAAGAGCACGGATAATACCCACTATACAGTAAGCGCAGTTCCAGAGGTATGGCTGCACCAAGTGATGTTTCTTTGGGAGCTCTTCGCGACTTCAAAGTAGTTTAGTTAAAGGATTGACAAAGAGTCGTCTTGAAAACGTAAAAATGCAGCGAGCTCGACGCCTTGCCCCGAAGTTTCGCCCTGCTCCTCTGAAGCCTCGCGCCAAGCTCCAGGAAGCGGACAGCTTCTGCGTTTCATGCGGCTGCCGCAACGTTATCGTCTTTCGACAGAACAAAAACAGTCTGAGGCTCATCAAGTGCCACAACTGTGGAGTCATCTCACCAGACTTCAGTCAATCCAAACCGCGATCAGGAGTTCGCGAGGATTTCACGCCACTGGACAAGGCACGAGCTCACGGTAAGACTCACACTAAGGTCTCGTTTGCTGCGTCTTCTAAAGCTCTTAATGGCTTAATGATCATCAGAAATGGCCGACCAGATTCTAGATGCATTCACGCACCAACGCACGAAACAAAATTTGCAACGAGCACTTGCATCTGGTACATCAAGCTCTAGAATTAAAAGATCGTTATCTAACCGAGCTAACAACTTGGATATCTGCCTTAATGGAACAGCTCGAGGAGATCTGGGGCTTATTTGTCATGTAAGTACTTTCAATGCTGCAATCAAAGCACATTCATCACTAGTCTGATCGTAGTTTTACGCTCCTCAGAAATACCTTCCCGTCGCGATTGAGATCTTCGCTCACGTGGTTTCCCTCTTCGGTTTCTCCGAGAGTATCGAAGGAGTACAGGAGAGTGTCCGAGTCATGCAAACGCACGCTAGAGATGACGAGCAACTCGTGCAAAAGCTCATCAGCATCCGGAGACTTCTCACACCTACTGGAAATTGGATCCAAGAAGACAAAGATGCTGAAAAGGATGACGAGCATCGCAGAGAACTGGGAACCCAAGCGCTTCTGCTGAAGAAAGAAGAAGAACGTCGTAAAGAAGTGCTCTCACAGGAGAACGCAAAGAAGGCTCGGCTACGAGCGAAGAAAATCGCTTTGGGTCTTGACCCGTCCGTCCAACGTCCTCCTGTTCTGTTGGACGTTCCCCCGCCAGTTGTAGCAGCTATCGAGAACGCGTCTCTGGAACTGCGAGTCAATGCCAAATTCGTCCAAAAATTCACGTGGTTTTTCAATGGCCATCCGATCGAAACGGAGGAATTCGTCTCCGGTATCAATCGATGTACACTTTTAGTCTCAAAACTAACTAAGCGGGTGACTGGCGAGTACTATTGCACGTGCGAGAATGAAGATGGGACGGTTACCTCTTCAACCAGTCGGGTATCACTCGCAATCTTGACACTCACTCGACTCGGAACGAAAGCTCTTGGAACGCTGGCGACTTCTTCCATGTACGTGTGCGATAAGAGTATGATGCTGACATGTGTGAGTGGCAAAATCAATCTGTACGATGCGAAATCTCTCGCTCCGGTTAAGGCATTCCCAGCGCTTCCGACAGCTATGAGAGCTCTGGTATGGGATCCAATAACAAAAATGGCGGCAGCATTTTCAACTTCTACCCAACAGGAGAACCCGAATGAAGCTCCCCAAGTGTACTTTTACTCAGTAGAGCGCTCCGATGGAGAGAATACCAACGGAATTGCCCTGACAACTACAAACCGTCGACGCAACCCCAGTAACATTGGCATACCCAAGTCGAAGGTGCCATCCATTGGCAATTCGCTCAAGTTTCAACTGGTGAACGTCCAATCCGTCGACGCAGTGACCCAAGTCCATGCAGCAGAATTCGTCAACAACGGGAAGATGCTTGTCGTGACAGACATGATGCATCAAGTCGCGCTGTACGATCTCTCCCCTTCGTTCCACTGCAAAAAGAATTTTCGTTTCGGTAGTGATGTGGTTTGTCACGTCGCGGTTAGTCCAAAAGCTCCGATGCTATTCGCGCTGGCATTCCGTAATAAACCGTCGATCAAAGTCTACTACATCACAACCGACAAGAAGACTACACGCACAGAGATATTAGAACATCATATCGACTTCAAGTTCCCTGTACACCGAACATCGTTTGATTTGTCAGGCGTTTCCCTGGCTGTGGCGGAAACTGGGTTCATGAAGTCGTGGGTCTCCATCGTCAATGTGGATAGGAAGACACCTTCCAACAAGCGCTTCGTTGCACACGCAGGCAAAATCTCTGGGTTGCAGTGGACAAGGAGTTCTTCTTTGCTGATTTCCAGCAGCCATGACGGGTACGTCAAGGTGTGGGATCCTGTAGCGATGTCCAATCTCTTGAGTGTTCACGTCGAGACGTACGGGGTTCATTCGATGCTGTTGATTGAGGAGCTCGCAGTTTTGATCACTTTGGGATACAACGACTGTCGTCTTCAAAGTCAATCAATTCTTCAATTAACCGAACTGGAGGCATCTCGACTAGTTGAATTGAACAAGCAAGCAGCAAACATCCAGAAGAGCTGGAAAGGCAGGAAGACGCGTCAGCTAATAGCCACGTACATCAGAGGCTCAAAGGCTTAACTCCATCTTCAGATAACCTCGCAAAAATAGACCCGGTGTCTATATGATTCTCAGCGTACCAGTTAGTTTTGGAAAACTTTTTTCCGACTACAAAGCGCAATGTCCTATGAGGCTAAACCACTGACAACAACCTCTGTGGCGAAAGCTGGCACGAGTGAGGAAGAGCAACAGACTCAGTCAATGATGTATGCGGCTCGAATGACGTACTTGGACAACTCGGAGCAGCGATCACCCGATCCGATGTTCCTAACACGCAAACAAGCTCAAAAGATGGCACAGCAGCAACAAGAGGGGTTGAAGATGCCCTTCAGGAGGCTCGAGAAGATGAATACTGCCAGAGCAACCAACGGACCCACCGTCATCAGCTGGAAAAAGAGCAAAGCGGCGATGGCAGCGCTGGAGAAACACAAGACATGGAAGCCACGCTTCCAAGCAGGGTGTCATTTCTACGAGTGTGTTGAAACAGGAGAATGCCGAGTGTATCCACAGGGAAATCCAGCTCTTATGCCTTCCGACGAGAACAAGAACGAGGCTGACAGTGACGATGACGACCCACCTTTCCCAGACAGCTTTGCATTTCTAAATGACTCTCGCAAATAGACCGCTTTCACTCTCTAGCAAGCGTATCTACTACGTTTTAGTAGACCTTCGTGACCTCCGAGTGCGTCATGTCTTGGTCTTCGTCGTCGTCCTTCTGGCTGTATTCGGTAGCCATCATATCGTGCAGCTTCTGCGTCTCCTCTTTCGACATCTAAAAGTCAGACATATGAATGTTAGTATTCATACCATATATACGAACTGTTTGGTTGTCACATGCCTTGTATGGAGAGTAGGCCTCACTCGAGAAGCGACCGCTCTCCACGTCGTCGCGATAATTCTCAAGGCCGATGCGGATCTGTTCGCCAACGTCAGCGTATCGCTTGCAAAATTTGGGGACGAACTGAGCATGATGCGGGTGCTGAAGCATCCCCAGGAGGTCATGGAAGACCAACACTTGGCCATCCGTCTCGGGTCCAGCACCGATTCCGACCGTCGGAATCTTCAGCAGCTCCGTCACGGCCTTCGAAACGGCTGATGGAACACACTCCAGGACAACAGCAAAAGCACCAGCCTTCTGCACAGCCAACGCGTCCTCGATGATCATTCGTGCTTGGGCAGCTACACGCGATATTATAAACGGAAATATGAGTGCACTTCGATATTAACAAGCTAGGCGTTAGTGAAGCATATACCCGTGCGTCCCTGAGCGCGGAACCCTCCCAGGACGCTAATGTGCTGCGGTCGGAGTCCGATGTGTCCCATCACAGCGATACCTCCATCAACGATAGTCTTGACTGTGACGGAACAGACATCGGTTGGTATCACAAACACAGTAACAACTACGATCAGATCATCTCTCGTACTTGTTTCAGCGCGTTCCTTGCCTCCCTCGATCTTCACGCAGTCCGCTCCGCCTTCCTGTTACCAGATCGAAATGTCAATATCGCCGACTTGCATGTCTTTATCATTGAACTGTGGAGTTCGTTCCTTCATGAGACGCTGAGCGTTCTTCAACGCTTCGAATGGTGTTCCTTCACAAGTGCCAAACGGCATATCCGTGATCACTAGCGGGCGCGTAGCTCCTCTATCATCGCAAAAAATAAACGTCAGATTAGTACCATGAAGACTGTCATTGCCTCGATCACCCACCGCTTGACCGCCTGAGTGTGATGAATCATGTCGTCCAGAGTCACCGGGAGTGTCGTGTCCATACCCTAACAGCAGCAAAAGTCCAGTTCAGTTGAAGCACCACACCTTCTCCATCTCTTTCGACGTACCAGCTCCACCATTCCGAGAGAGTCCCCCACTAGCAATATGTCAAAGCCCGCCAGGTCGACGTGCACTGCCGATGGATAGTCATAGGCCGTGACCATAGTGATTGGTTTCTTCTTGCGCTTGAAGATACCGATGTCGAGAGTTGAGACCTTGCGGCGTTCCAGCAGCTTGAGTGTGCGTGCAGCTGACTGGGCATTGTAAGAAGAAGAAGAAGAAGAGTCGCTGCTGAAGAGCCTGGAGGCGGAAATCGCGGGGTGAGTGCGGCGCAGAGGGCGGCGGATCGCGGCGGTCACGGAGCGAATCATGGTAGTGGCAACTTACTGATGAAAGATAAAGTGAAAACCTTTTGTTGGGTGGGCTTCAAGTACCCGATTAAGTACGAATGTTATGCAGGTACAGACGATCCCTTCGGTAGCAATCCCTAGAAATGGAATACTCCTCGATAGCAATAAATTAGCGGTTCCCGTTGACCAGTCACTTACAAACCCAAGATATTCCCTCTCACCCCTCAATCGTAAAATGGAGTACATTTGAAGTCAAATATTTCTATTGTGGGGTGATTAAATATGAAAAAAGTCATAACTGTCAGGAGATGCTCTTTAACTGCTTCTGGCTCAAGGTCCTCCTCAATCCACGTACTACGCTCCATATCGTCCTCGTCCAGGTTTTCTGAGCCGTTCTCAGAGCCATCTACAGCCAATTCTTGGTCACCAACTCCACAGAAGTGGAATCTTCTGCAGCTGTGTTCTCGTCGGGCGGGTTCAGCAGCACGTCCACGGACATTGGGTCCTTAACGTGCAGACGAGATAACATCGTCGCAAGCTCGGCGGACATTGCATCATCTTCATCTGGTTCTTCGTAGACGCAGTTGTAGTAGCCTAAAGGCCCGGTGTGCTTCCAGCACCTAGCGAAGAGGGACGGTGGCATGGCGTTCCAGCAAGTAAGTACTCCAAGAAATTGCCTGCCGAGTCCCCACCTTGTACAGCCGCACTGTTCCAAACCAAAGGTACTCGGAACCATTTTTATGGTACATACGTAAATAGGAATACCCTTAGACAGGAATAAATTGTGGGTTCCCAACGCGATGACTACCGAAGGGATCGTCTGTAATCATGCCAATGACGCTTTTTGAGGCGGCGGGCGAGCAATGGGGACGTCAAAGCGACGGACGCGGAGCTTTGCAGTGACGCATGACGCTACTCTGTGTGTGGACATCCGGTGTAGTGAGACGTGGTGGTGTGAGGCAAGTCAAGGCGATGAGGTTTGCACAAATTTACCAGGAGCTCGAAGATCTAACAACACAATTTCGCCTGGACACCCAAGGATTCAGCTCCGTGTAGTTAGTTTACAGACGCAACTGCAGCAGCAATATATTCAGCAACTTGAAGTATCAACTTGTTTTCAAGATTGTCGACGTCAATATTGCAATTCAGGACCACCGATCGGAGCTGTCCCAGCCAAATCGCTCCTGTAGCAGACCAAGAAGTGGGAACTGAATATATGTACCGTAACCGAGAGTGACCCTCGCGGCAGTTTGTAGTGCTTGGCAAGTTGCCAGGCAACGGGTTTGGATGCACTTGTCGCTGATCATCGCCACGTCCTTGCGCTGCCGATCGCCATTCCAGTGCAAGGAGTTACCGCTCCTCTCAACACCAAATTCATCTCATCATCTGTTCATCTGTTCATGAGTTATCCCTTCAACATCAACCCGGTGTCGAGCATGGATGTCGAGCATGGATGTCGAGCATGGATGTCGAGCATGGACATTAAAGTTGGATTCACTTCACGTTTGACACTCTTTTCGACAAGCCTCGTCAATTGATCATGATGCGGTCCGTGATCGCAGCGACCCGCCACCCGAAAGCGCTACGCCGTAGTCACCCAGCTATCTCAACCGCAACACAATTCAGCATCGAGGCTTCTTTCTCCTCTCGGTCGTCCGTACGTACCCTCAAGCTGCTCGAACGCCACAAGGTCTCAACCCTCGATATCGGTATCTTCAAGCGCAAGAAGAAACCAATCACTATGGTCACGGCCTATGACTATCCGTCGGCAGTGCACGTCGACCTGGCGGGCTTTGACATCGTACTGGTTGGGGACTCGATGGGCATGGTAGAGCTGGTGCGTGAATAGTTGGTGCAAGGACCAACAATCAGATACTAAAAGGCTGCCATTATGTTTGTGTTTCAGGGCATGGATACAACACTTTCTGTGACGTTGGAAGAAATGATTCACCACACCAAGGCAGTGAAACGGTACGGTCTCCTGTTGGCACGACAATGCTATTGGTGCTAATCTTCTTGCGGTCGATCGATGTACGTGCATCTGTTTTAGTGGAGCAACTCGTCCGCTGGTTATCGCGGATATGCCATTCGGCACATGTGAAGGAACTCCATATGAAGCGCTGAAGGGTGCACAACTTTTAGTGAAGGTAACCTCGTTCTCTATTTTTTCGAAGTACATTTCTTTTTACACAATAAAACGATTCTTACGCGTATGCACTACACAGGAAGGCGGTGCCGACTGTGTGAAGATCGAGGGAGGCAAAGAGCGTGCTGAAACGAGTATGAATGCTTTGGTTGTGTGTTCCTAGTATATTGTCAGCTACTTACGTAACTCTCTTTCTTTTTTACGGGATACAGTCAAGACGATAGTTGACGGTGGCATTGCTGTGATGGCTCACATTGGTCTCCGTCCACAGCACATTAGTGTTCTAGGAGGATTTCGCGCCCAGGGACGCACAGGTATTAACTTTTGTGGTTAGTTTGGTTGTGTATAGCTTCCTAACAATGTTGTGGTGATTGAATCGATTGCAGCGGCGCAAGCGCGTTCAATCATCGAGGATGCCTTGGCAGTTCAGATGGCTGGTGCTTTTGCCGTTTTAATCGAGTGTGTTCCCATCGCTGTAGCTCAACACGTGACAGAGCTGTTGAAGATCCCCGCAATCGGTATTGGTGCTGGCGCGAGCACGGATGGCCAAGTGTTGGTCTTCCATGACTTGTTGGGTATGCTCCAGCACCCTCACCACGCACAGTTTGTCCCAAAGTTCTGCAAACGGTATGCTGGAATTGGCAAGCAGATCCGAATCGGTTTAGAAGCCTACCGCGATGATGTTGAAAGCGGTCAGTTTTCGAGCGAGGCGTACTCTCCATACAAGGTGCGTCGTTGCAGAAGGAATTTACTTTCGTAACTTTGACTTATGTATCCGTGGAAATGCATTTTAGATGTCGAGCGAAGAAATTCAAAAGCTTCAAGCTATGATTGCTGAAGAGTACAATACGAGGTTCAAAGAGGAAGACAAAGATGGAGTGGCGCTGTCTGAGATCACCAAAGTTTACTAACAAGTGGTACTGCAGCGAGGCGTAAGAACTAATTTGAAATTTATTTCATCACCTGTTGTAGTAAATTTTGTTTCACTGCGATTGTTGACTAAAGCTAAGAAATCTTACGAAAGTTTAGATAGAAAATCTTAGAGCGCGACGCTTAAAGATCGACCATTTGACGATAAGGCAAGTACGCGAGATCGACATGAAAGGCATCAACGTCGAGGAGTTGGAAGATGACGAGCCACCGATGTTGGGAGAAGCCGAAGCTCCAGTTGAAGACAACCAAGTGGAAGACTCGACGAAAGATCAAGACGCAAGTATCATGGACGAGATGTTAGCGGTTGCTCAACGTGCCAAAAAAGATAAACGCAAGCAGCAGGACAAGGAACGCAACCGGACATCTTTTGGCCAGGGGCTAAAGAAGGGTTTCTTCAACACAACCAAAATGACTACGAAGAAAAAGGGGACGCTAAAAAAGAGTACAACAACTCTGGAACCTGCTCGACAGCAATCGGTACGCGACTTGGCACCTTAGCGTTTTTCATTCTGTTGCGAATTTACGCCATTTGCGTGAATCTGCATGCAGCGAGATGAACGATTGCTGATCGTGAACCAAAAGCAAGAGGAACCTGCGACAGATAACTCGCCATTTGTCTTCCCGGAAGTTCAGGAGGCGATGAAAAGCATGAACCAGCTCGACCCCAAAGGTTCAAACGAAGTCACAAACAACATGTTTACATATGATGATAACGTTACAATGTTGTTATAGAGTGGATGAACGAGCGCTTCTTCGAGAAACTTGCGCGGAATCCGAAACTTGCTCAGGGTAAGTATATGAGACGACAACGATATTTTGCAGAAGGCTAATCTCGTTGATACCCGCTCGTGTCAGCGCTACAAAACCCGTCGTTCTCGAAGTCAATTAGCGAGATGCAAAAAGACCCTGCTGCAGCCATCTTGAAGTACCAGAAAGACCCCGCCGTGTCCACCATGCTGCGAGATTTCATGGAGTTCCTTGGCAATCACTTTGAAGAGGTGCGCACAACTCGCAATTATCTTAACGGGCAAAGACTGATACGGTGTGTGCATTGCTCTGTTGATGTAGCTGGGCGCTTCAGCTGAGGCCGCGAAATCTCAAAAAAAATCCGAGTCACAGCAGCAACAAGACTCGCAACCATTGGAAGGTCTTCGAATGAGCAACAAGCATAAAACGCTAGATTTTCCGAAAGGACCCGCGATAGTTGATCTGGACGAGACCCGACGCCAGGCGATTGCTGGGATGCAGCGTTCACCCGAAGAAGAGGAGCAAGTTCAACGGATTTTGAAGAACCCTGAGCTGCTGGCTGCGCTGTCGGATGGGAATCTGATGCAACGCATTCACGACTGTCAAGAGTCTCCGGGAGAATTGCAGCGGCTTGCACATGACCCCGTGCTGGGGCCAAAACTGCGGTTGCTAGTACAGCACAACATGGTGCAATTTGCATAACGCAGAACAAGATTTTCGCTTTCGATCTATGCTTCATTGCGATCTTCGATGTAGCCATCTGTCTACTTGATGTGTCAGACATAATGTTTCGAATTCAAATTTCGCGCCAGCTCATTGTTAGTTCAGAATATCTCAACAATAATGTCGGAGCACGGCACCGGCGGTTCGGGGCTGCGCTCGGAGCAGCAGGCAGCGGAGCGCATGGCGCGTGAGCTCATGGACATGAAGATTGAGACAGCCCATCTGCGAGAGCGATTACGGCTGCGCGTGGGCGGCGATACGACGGCGGCGGAGCTGGAGGCAGAGGCCTTTGCGCTGCAAACGGCGCTGGGTGAGGCTCAGCAAACGCTTAAATCTCGTGAGGCGGAGCTGCAGGCGCTGGATCTAAAGTATCAGAAGGCGATGCACGGTATGGTGCGACTTGATGAGGCCTGGAAGCTCAGCAAGACGCAGATGAGGAAGGCGCAGGACGCACAGCAGGCGGCAGAACAGCGATCGTCGGAAGAGAAACAGCGAGGCAACGAGCTCCAGCGGCAGTTAGATGCAGCCAGTCAGAGGGAGACGACACTGGCAAATAGAGTGGATACGCTCGTACAGGAGAAGCAGCAGCTACAGCAGCAGAGAGACGAGAAGGAACAGGAGTCTAAGAACAGGGAGATGCAGGTCCACGAGCTGAGAGCGCAGCTGGAAGTCATGCGACATCAATTCGAGACACAGATGAAGCAGCAGGAAGGAGCCACGCGAGAGGATGTTCGAAGACTGCAGGAACAATTACAAAAGGCGGAGGAACAGGCTGCAGCGTTGAGAGGAGAGATCCATGCCAGACAAGATGAGGCAGCCAAAGTGGAGGCCGAGCTGAGAGATACGAAGAAGGCGGAGACAATGACGAAGCAGAGACTCGTGCAGCTGACGGAGGACCACGCAACACTGCGTGTACACTTGGAATCGGCCAAGTTGATCGCTGTGGAGAGCACCCAGAGGGCGATTCAGGCCGAGACTGAGAATGAAAGCTTGAAAACGGAGCTGGAGGAGTTAGAGAGCGTGTTAACGGAGAAAGAGCAGACTGTGCAGACGCTGGAGGAGGAGTTGGTTGAGAACCAGAAGAGGACAGAGGGGGTGCTGGTTAAGAAGAAGCAGGCGCTGGAGGAAACGGAACAGAGACTGACAAAGGAGTCTCAGGAGATGTTGCAAGCACAGGAGGAAGCGTGGAGCTGTCGAGAGAAGTTTTTACAAGCAGAAACTGAAAATTACAAGCAGAAACTGGCGCGTATGCAGGCATTTCACGTGGAACTGGCGCAGTTGCTGCAAGTTAAACAGGGAGAGAATGCGGAAGACGAACAATTGGAAAGCGTCGAACCGGCCATGCTCAAGGCGCTGATAGTACAGGAAATCAACAAACGCGACGTCCTCACAACGACATTAGGTCAACTGAAGCTGAAACTTGGGGCAACCAAACGACAACTTACCTCACAGAAGCAATTGGAGGCCGAGAACACGAAATTACGAGCTGAGTACGAGAAGGCAAAGCTGGCAATGGAAAGAATGGCCACACGGAAGGCCAAGAGTCTCAATTCTGTGACTTCTGTAACAGTCCAACCAAGAAGTCGTTCATCAGAGGGAGATGCTGGCAAGGAGAATCGGACAGTAACGCCGATCATTAAGCGACAACTGGCTGAGGATGAAGCTGAAACAATTGACGTTAGGACCACACCGCGGAAGGCACAACGCACCAAACATGTATATGTAGCTTCGCGGTATCTAAGCAAATGACACACTAACGAGGTATACTAGTTCTTCATAAATCTTTTAAACCACGACAAGGTTCAATTCGTCGGTCATAGGCTGTTCACAAAGAAACTAAAGGCTAATTACTCTCAAGGCAAGTGCTCCAAGATCACAACTCGTGCTTCTCCGTTGGGAAAGGCTCTTCTTCTTGCTGATGCTGGTGTAGTGACCAGCCAGGAACGCTCTTCTGGTCCTTCACACGCAGTCGAATGCTTTCGAAGCACTGGAAAGCTTTCGAGGGCTGGATCTCTCCGTCCACGATAATTGCAGAGACTGTCTCCTTCGCACCGAGGTAACACGGAACGTATTCGTTTACTTGACCAAAGGTGACAAGTACACCACCATTGCTGAGCTGCTGCGGGAAACGCTTTGGGCAGGATTGAACTTGTTGCTGTTGTACACCTCCCCAGTATGGAGCCCAGGCCACAGAGCCGCCTTCCTCTAGGTTCTGACCGTCAATTGCCACCTATTTAACAAGATAAAACACACATATTAGCACTATTGACAGCAAAATAGAGATTATACATCTGCTAATACTTACAAAGATGCTCTCGTTGACGAAGGCAAAGGTGGGATCAAGTGAGAAGATCTCGACCGCTGCGCGCTGCTGCATCTTCACCTCCGTCATCACATTAAATGCCACGTAAGTCGCAGCAGTCAACAGCACCAACGTCTTGGCCCACACGCGGTGGAAACACGTCAGCGTCACCAGAACCCCAGTCAATAGCACCGCCAATTCGCGCACCACAGGTGCATCCAAACTCTTCACAAGCGTCCAGAAATCGTCGTCCAGCCGTCTCAACGGGGCGTCAGGGTTCCATGCAACAGACAGCGCTCCCAAGGCTTCCACAATGAACTCCCTACCACCTCGCAGTAATCTCTCACCACACTCCACAGGCGGTTCCAGATCTAAGTCTCTCCAGTTCAGTACATTGGTCAACGCCAGAGAATCCACACTGCACGAGACGCCATACAGCGCCAATCCAACGCCCGCGAGTGTCAGCAGATTCAACAGCGCTTTGGATAATGCACCAGCGAGTCTCGGACTCTGCAGCGGCCATAATTGCTGGTCGCTACGGGGCAATGAGATGTATAGCAGCATAGGAGCCACACCCATCACAGCTAGCGTCCAGGCCACATTCTGCACCCAGCCACCACCGGCCACCCACCGCTGGGTGAAGCTCCATCCAAGCAGCTGCTGAGGTCTCTCCAGCCAATCCTCATCATTGTCCTCCGACTCGTCCGAGTCCGAATGCCACGCATCTTCATCACTATCAGGGTCTTCGGCCTCCGAGTTTTCCTCCTCTAGTTCGTCCCATCCACGCTGCGACGCGTCAGCTGCCAACATGGCGTCAATCTGCTCGTCTTTTGTCTGGATGTACGCGTCATTCCACTTGTCGTCGATGAAGACCGGCTGCTTGGACGCCTTGGAGCGCGACCGCGTCAGCATCGTGAAGCTTCGGGGACTTTGTCAGGGCCTGTCGGATGGAGATTTGACCGTTTGAAATTGTGACGGCCAAGCGATATAAATAGAAGCTTATAAAATACAAGTGTAAATGTATTGAAATGACTGCACACGTATCTTATGTAGCCATTTAGGTGGTCGTAATACATCACCGGAAGAAGCTACGAAGGTCGTCGAGGTTGAGCCGCTCGCTGCGTCGCTCGTCATGGGCCTTGGCCACTACAAGCACGTGTTTGGCGAGCTTTTCCTTGCGTTGTTGTAGCTGCAAGATCATATCTTCCACTGTGTCTTTCACCACGTAGCGCTTCACTATCACGTCTTGTGTCTGACCCAAGCGATGTACACGGTCCACAGCCTGCTCTTCCACGCCAGGATTCCACCACGGATCCAGCAGAATCACCACTGACGCGCACGTGAGATTGAGCCCCACACCTCCAGCTTTCAGACTGATAACTAGAACCTCGACGTCCGGATCTTTGGCGAATTTGGTCAACACTCGCTCACGTGCCTCCTGGTTTAATCCACCGTTGAATGTGCAGTGCGTGAAGCCATGACGCGTCAGGAGCTGCGAGACCATGTCCAGCATCGACGTCCATTGCGAGAAGATCACAACCTTGCGCTTCTGTTCGGGTGATTCGATGTTCTCGTTCTCCAGTTTGATGGCCTGTAGATCACGCTGAAGCTGTCGAAGCTTGGCGGACTCGAAGCCTGTGCCGTCGTCGTCTCCAGACGCGATAACTTTAACTGAGTTGTTGTCTACTGAGCTGTTGGCTTTAGTGTCGTCACTCTGAGTCTTCGGGGGCGGCAGCTTGAACACTTTGGCCATATCCACCACAGTTCGACACACGGGACAGCCGTTGTCGGGGTCATTAGCGAGACTGTCACGCAGACATTGGTTACACAAGACGTGGGCGCACGGCGTCAGCACTGCGTCCTGTGGTGGGTCCAAGCAGATTGGGCATTCTTGAGAGTCCAAACCATCTTCAACTTGTGCGATCACGCTCTGGATATACGATGCTGTCAAACCTCCGGCCAAAGCACTTTCTTGGTCGTCTGCCAGTAGTTTTGTACGGTTGCTGCTAGCCTGCATGTCCTTTTGCAGTTGCGCTGCAATCCGCTGGTAATAAGCTTCCGAAGTTTCGTTCTGCTGAGGCTGGAACGCTGACTTGACTGTATTTATCCTTCCATTCGTGTCGTCTGGCTTCAGGGCTTGCTCGAAATCCTTGCCCAGAGCGAGCAAAGGATGGTCACAAGCTTGGCGGAGACGCAGCAACAGCGCGAAGATGGCGACGTAGCTTGTCGTGGCTGCACCGCTAGCGACGAAACCATTGAACTCTGCTCTGCTTTTGTCGAATACTGCTTGGTAGAAGGTACGCTCATCAGGGGAAAACTCCAGCTTTACCAAGTCAATGTGCTTCGGTGGAAGCTTGACTATCATGTTACCCTGTTTGTCCCGCGAGTGCTTTGTCCGCCGCAGTAAAATTGGCGTCAGAATGGCCTTTAAGCGGCCAAGCGCGTTCACGTCGTCGCCGTCTTCATAAGGCTTCGTAATCACTCTCTTCCACCATGCAACGCGAGACCAAGGCTGGTATTGAAGGAAGCACAGAAGCGAGAACATATCGTCCAGGGTATTCTGAATGGGGGTTCCAGTGAGACACCAGCGATGCGTCGCAACCAACGCAGAGCATGACTTGAAGTAGCCCGTTGTCCTGGTCTTGATACTATGAGCTTCGTCAAGAATCACGCGGTTCCATTCGGTCGTCGTTAGAGGACTATCCTTCCCGTATTCAGCTGATAGCACTCCATAAGTAGTGAGCACGAGGTCGCACTTGGTGAAAGTCCCCGTGCTGAGTCCAGTGCCAGTGTCACGATCGTCGCCATAGTACAAGTGAACACTCAGAGTGTTCGGGAGGAAACGCTCTTGTGCTTCATTCTTCCACTGGTGTAGCAAGCTCAAAGGACAAACCACCAGAGTCTTGCCTGTCATCTTCCGTTTCCCTCGACCTGGTGAGTCATCGTTATCCACGGTAGATTTCTCTTCACCGATGTGTTTCTGGTAAGCGACTAGCGATAACATCATCATCGTTTTACCCATTCCCATGTCGTCTGCCAGAATTCCACCGAGGCAAGGGGCTGGAGGCTCAGGCCGGGTCAAGGATGCACTTTTCTCGAAGGGGTTGACGTAGTACGAACTGTTGGAACGGAAGTGACGCTCCTCCCACATCTAAATGCAGTATAGTTAGCATATTATTCATAATGTTAAAGCAGTCAGGTAGAAACTTACTGGATCGTTGCTTTCTTGCTCCTTGACGCCGGTCCTCAACTGGTTTTCTCGCCACAGCATCCACCTGAGAGCTTGTTTCTGGTGATCTCGCAGCTCAATAGCATTCAGATACTGTACAAGGTGCTCCGACGGATCAGTGTTTGAACCTTCTGCTGCGTTGTTAAGCTCCGTTGCACCAACGCATTCGGAGAATAGAGTATCGAGATCCTCCGGGTTCACCTGTGACAACGGATCCTCCGCGTCGGAGCTCGAACGCAACGCCAATTTATCCAGCGAGGGCGTCTCAGCTCCATTGATCATCTGTAGCAAATTGTATAGCTGATCCGAGAGGTGGAAGTTGGTGTCGCCTTCTTTGAAGACGTCGAACGCCTTCACATTGACGTACACAAACACAGTCACCTGCACATACACACAAAGTCTCGTAAGAATATTGGAATAAACCGAAGCAGAAAGTTGCTGGACGAACATCAAACGACGCGAACATATGAGCTGACACGGGAGGAGTTTCGCACACTCCTCCGAGCCTCACGAGTCCACTCTTCATCAACGGATGCAGCAGCGTCTCCATACTCCTCTCTAAACGTCCAATCTGCGACTGCTGCAACGTCACGACCCTCACAATGCCTGAAGCTGCAATGCTGGTCGACAATCCTGGTCTCAGTCGCTTTTTGCCTGCGTTTTCTGCACGTAGCAGCAGTTCGTCTCCCCCTTGAAGCTTTACACCTTGGCGGTTCACTGAGGCCTGCATTGTGGTCTTGCCCAGCACTTTGAAGCTATTATTCTCTGCGATACCATTCTCCAGCGTCTGTATTGCCCTCTCCAGTCTCCGTTTGGCCTCCTCATCCTCCTGAGCTGCGGTGTCTGTACCTGTCAACCGTTCAAAGTACTCGGAGGCCGCTCCGGGGACACTGAAGCAGTTGCGCTGCAGTAACGCCATCATTTCGTCGCTCGGAAGGTCGATACCAAGCTCCTTAAGTTGCTGTAGCTTCTTCTGGACGCGCTGCTGCTCCTTCTCTGCGGAGCTGCCCACACCGAAGAGCAATGACGACTGGGATTGCAGCGGTGTCTTCACCTTCACTTTCTTAATGCTGCGGTTGGACGGCGGTGGCATCTTTGAGAGCCGCGCAGTGAAACACATTGCGCATTGACCCACCGGCGCCTCGTTCTCGAACGTGCAGCGCGAACAGCTCCACGGCTGAGTCGCCATTATTGCCGCCAAATCACTGAATGGTGTAACCCAGATGTACCTGGTTACACTAGGGTACGCCGTTTTGCTGGTCCAGACCACTTCTGACAACTGGAATAATGCTGGCCGCAAGTCGCCGAGTCTTGGCTGCATGCAGCACCCGTGCTGTCACCGCCGTGCGCTTTGAGAGTAGCGGTGGCCATGCGCAAACGAGGAAGGTGAAGGTTCTCAGTTCACGTTTGCCCAGCGACGGACCGGGTCTGGGAGACTTTTTGCGTGAATCGCAGACTCATGACCACCAGCGAACGGCTGAGGCAGCGCGCGAGCCCAGCGAGATGAATTTCCCTGTACCTCCTACAAATATGCGATCGCTAGAGGAACTGGAGGAAGAGCAGACGTTGCGCCGTCGCTCCTTCTTCATTGAGACGTACGGCTGCCAGATGAACTCGGCCGACTCGGAGATCGTGCGTGCCATCCTGCTGGATAATGGCTACACGCCGGCGTCCACCGCCGACGCAGCCGATGTGGTGCTCCTCAACACATGCGCTGTCCGCGATAACGCAGAGGCCAAGATCTGGAACCGCCTCGAGTCGTTGCGCCAAATCAAGGCCAAGCTATTGCGCCGGCAGCACAAGGAGGTGCAGACCGTCGGTGTCTTAGGCTGCATGGCCGAGCGACTCAAGAAGAAGCTGCTCGAATCGGACAAGATGGTGGACCTAGTGGTGGGACCCGACGCTTACCGTGACATCCCCAATCTATTGCGCGTCGTGCTTGGCAGTGGCGAAGCCGCCGTCAACGTGCAGCTCTCGCTGGATGAGACATACGCCGACATTGCGCCTGTGCGCGCCGACCAACACAGTCCGTCGGCCTTTGTGTCAATTATGCGTGGTTGCAACAACATGTGCTCCTACTGTATCGTACCGTTCACACGCGGACGTGAGCGCAGTCGTGTCATGAACTCGATTGTCGACGAGGTGCGTGCACTGAGCGGCCAGGGCGTGAAGGAGGTCGTACTGCTCGGGCAGAACGTCAACTCGTACCATGACAAGAAGTCCGAAGGCGCAGCTGAGAAGGGCCGCGGCTACGTTTCGTCCGCCGGCTTCAGCAACATGTTCCGCTCGCGTGACGCTCCTGGCTTCCGATTCGCCGATCTGCTAGACGAAGTCTCGCGTGTTGACCCGGAGATGCGTCTGCGCTTCACGTCGCCACACCCGAAGGATTTCCCGAACGAAGTGCTAGATCTCGTGAACGAAAGACCGAATATTTGCAAGCAGATCCACATGCCAGCTCAAAGTGGAAGCACCACAATGCTAGAACGCATGCGTCGTGGCTACTCGCGTGAGGCGTACCTGGCGCTGGTGGACAACATGCGTGCTCGTATTCCTGGTGTGGCGATTTCCTCTGATTTCATCGCTGGTTTTTGTGGCGAGACTGAGGAAGAGCACGCCGATACGATCTCTCTTATGCGCCAAGTGTGCTACGACCAGGCTTTCATGTTTGCCTACTCCGTTCGCGCCCGTACGCACGCAGCACACCGCATGGAAGATGACGTTTCTCAAGAAAACAAGCTGCGTCGCCTGCGAGAGGTTATTGACACGTTCAGTGAGGTGGTGACGCGCAAGAACCACGTCGAGGACTCGGAGCGTCTGCACATTGTACTCGTCCAGGGTCCCAGTCGCCGATCGACGGATGAAAACCCGAAGCTTACGGGTCTCACAGATACTAGCAAACGCTGCGTGTTCCCCAACCAGGAAATACCGGGATCGTTGCGTGCTTTCACGAAGCAGGCAGGAGAGTTGGCATCCGAGTTCCTGCCTCTGCCCAGTGTTACATCTGAGAGCGTTCACGCTGCTCCGGGCGACTATGTGCTGGTGCGCGTCCGCGAGGCTGGGCGTCACACTCTCCATGCTACGCCTGTGGCACGCACCACGCTACAGGAAGTCGCAGAGCTTGTGCCAGCAGAGCTGCTCGGCGCCCGACCGCATTCGCAAGACGCGCTGGAGCTATAGATATTAGACGCTACATTTCCTTACGAGGCAGCAACCAAACACCATGTAGTAGCAAAAGAAGCACGTATTTTCCCCTCATCATCTGCTGACCTAGTGAGCGGCCACGGCGCCTTTGGCAGCCTCCGCCGCGCGCTTCTGCATCTCCATCTGCATGTTGGAGATCTGCTCAATAACAAAATAACAGCCAGTAAAATGTCAGTCACCAGCGTTTTGCAGAGTTACAGCAGTGTAGAGTTACGTACGTTAGTCCGAATTCCGACGGCCTCCTTCTCCTTGGCCTCGATCTTAGTATTGACCTTGTTCCTGTAAGGTAGACGCAGCATTCGGTTAGATACCTCCATATCTCTCCGAAGTTTCTTCTGCTGGACACTCACAGCTCGTTATTAATGAATTCGAGACGCTTGTTCACATTGCTCTTGGCCTCGTCCACGTCTTGTTTGAGCAGCACTGGACCCACGAGTTTGTAGACTTTAGCCTCGTCATCCAGCAGGTCCAGCTCCTTCTTCACCATATCGTTTTCATTCGCCTGTTGGGCGTACGTCTGACGCTGCGTCGCTAGCACTTGCACCTCGTCCTGAAGGGAACGGTAGCGCGTCATTTCCGCCTCGACTTGATCCTTCAGCTCAGCCATTTTCACGCCACGCAATTAGAATTAGAGATCGGACCACAAACGCTTACCCCCAAATATATTCCTACTCTGATAAATTATATTTTTGGCATATCAAATAAGCTTGAAACCACGGAGGTTAAAATACGATTCAACTTCTAAGAGAGTTGAAGGCGTTTTCTCTTCGGCGAAAGGAGTGCGGATATGTCGTGTGACTCATGGTAGATTGGAATGAAAGAAACATGTATTTTTTTTTAGAAAATGCAGATAAACTCATGCAGAACTACTGCAGTAGCAATTGGCAGATGATCCCCTCATTTAGGCAGCACTAGTGCTGGGTCCGCTTTTGGTAGGTTGGCGCGTGGTGGACACTCGCTTGGTTCCACGAGGCGACGTGACCTCCGTTGTGATTACAGTGAAGTCGCCCTCGACGGTGATCTTGCGGGTCGTGGTCGAGGCTGCCGTTGCTGTTGACTGGGTTCTCATAGGCGACGCGTACGTGGTCGTCTGCGTAGCACCGCGAGTCGTCTTGGTGGCCAGAGGCGAAGCGAAGCCGGCACTCGAGCTGCTCATAGACCTGGTCGTCTGCTCTGGAGACGAGTAGGCAGTGATCCTCATGCTCCTCGTCGCATTGGTCGACTGCGGTGACGCGAAGCCCGCAGGAGAGCTTATCGGTGATCCGAACGGCGACCTGACCAGAGATCCACGTGCCTTCAGCTGACGCCGGAGAGGCGAGTACGACGTGCTCAGTCTGGCCGTCGATCCGCTGCGTACCGGGCTTCCGACCGGAGTGCTCGTCCTCGACGGAGCACCAGCACCGGGCCCACCAGTAATGAGCACCATGTCGTCCGAGTACTTCATCAACCCAGAGAACATGCGGCTGCGACGCAGTTGACGCTGGTTGTTAAAGCCTTGGATCATGGTAACCTGGTGGTGGATCTGCTGCTCTTCAGTCAGGTTAAGCAAGTAACCAGACACCTTCACGTTCGGAGGACACACGAAGCCAAGTTCCTGGAAGTACGTGATCAACGACTCGCCAGTGCCGTGGAACAGCACTTCACCGTTCTCCAGAATGAGAACATCCTCGTAGTACGCACACTTCTTCGGCACAACCTGAAGTGCTGACAGCACGAATTCCACCTCCATCAACTGAGTGCCGTCAGAACCCGTGCGCGTGCGGCAAACTTCGTCAATCAGCAGAGTTCGTTGAAACTTTCCAACTCCGAGACCCAACTGCTGAACAGCAACGCCAGGGTAATGGAACGACAGCGAGCGCGCAATCGTCCACGTAGCTCGCTTTTCTTCGTACGTGCCCGTATTAAAGAATCCATCCTCAAAGCTTACGAAGTTCTGGTCGCAGAAATCACGAGCAAAGTTGAGGAGTTCTTTCCTTGGCATGGCTTTCGACAGGCTACGGCCACGACGCTGCACGTACGAGACGAACTGAGGCAGCCAAGTCTTGACAAGACGCCGGCGCTTCATGTCCCACAAAGCAGAGCCCTTACCAGTACGGTGCTCCGTCAATACAGCTGACTTCTCTTCCCAACTCGATTCCATCACGCTGCGCTTACTACCGTCCGTACCAACAACTGAGGCAATCTTAATAAGACCGACAGTATCACCAACACCCTCCTCCCGCATCTCCTTCACCACACTCGTGCTCGACTCGCCCGACGCGGCCTCCGTCACTTTCGTCGTCGTCTCCACCTCGATCATACGCTTCACCACACCGCTCGAAGTAGTCACCTTGCGGATCGTCGTGCGAACCGTCTTCGTGACGATGCTTCCGTTCGCGCCCGTCGTACGGAACACCTCGGTCTTCACCGTGGCGCCCGCGGAACCGTCCTCATCCGTTTCCTCCGTAGTCGACGAGCTAATCAGAGTCGCCTCCGACGCGGACGTGCTCGACGTGA